GGATCGATGGGCTGAAGAGCTTAAAGCATGAAAGATATAAGACTAGCAGTATCCGTCCCCCTATCAACACAATTTTATTTGTGAACTTTACATAGCATTCTACAAGCCCAACAACCATTTAAGCCTTAGTGACAGATCTGTAGATGTTATCTATTTTCAAGCCTGCTGAACATTTTAAAAATCATAGGAAATGAAGTAGCAGATAACTTCTAAAAAGCCTCAAATTGAATGTGCACATGTCACGTGTGCATGGGTAATAGATTGAAAAGTAACAGTAGCCTACCAACGAAAGTTGGGTCTGTTGACCGTGAGGGCTTCTTGCATCTTCCATCATCCTGTGCAGCAAATGTCATTTCAATAATGACCAATATTCAACACATAAAACAAAATTGCCTACATAGATTTCATTAAGAAAGAGATACAGAATCCTCAAAGTCAAAGTTTGCACCACAAATCGTAACACGATCAAGTACCAGAACCAAGTTACGGTCTTCAAGTAAGGCTAAATGACGCCATAGAAACTTACATACAGGTTGAATTTCAACTCTGGTGACAAGAATTAATCACATTTCTCCCAAAAAAAAAAAAACAATTTTAATTGTTAGGATGATACCATATGTGCCTTTAAGATAGTAAAGTAAATGCCATGAATGACGCGAGGTTCAAAATAATTTTATTCGCCATTTGATAGAGCAAATAAATATGCTATATGATATTTATACTCCAAAAAAAGCAGTAACGGATTTTAAACACGAGGTGATTCTTGGGCTCATAGAAGTCATAGCAAAACATGAACTACTAAAGCTTAAAATTTGTAGCTACAATATAATATCAAGCTAAAATGTTACAAAATTAGAGGCCCACTCAAGGTTGGCACTGCAATGAGAACACTGGAAACAATATTATGGGCGAAATATTGGGATGTGATTTTTGAATCTAGGCATTATTTGTCTTCTTTTCTCTCACTGAATGTATACTTTTAAGAGGCTTTAAAAATGGGAAGCAAATCACATCAATTCACATTATCTACCTTTTCAATTTACTCCATTTCTATCCCTTTTACTCCTGTTAATGCAAGATGAAAACAGTTAATCTCAGCTACTTGCATCAATTTAGTATAATAGATCACAACCCAACGTCGAGATATTCTTTCTTGTCATTAACTGATATATGCACACAGCATAACTACACTACTATTAAAAATGGTGATTCACATCTCCAATCAGTGTGAACCTTTTCTCTCTCGAAACCCAAACCATCAATTAGGGAATGACACCAAACTTCAATTTATTCTTTCAAAACCTAACCCTTCAACATTCTTCAACCAAATTTAGGGGAAAGTGTAAATTATATATATTTTTAACAACAAACTTAACAATTCAACCTTCTGACGTTTTCTACGCTCCAACTCCTCTTCGCGCCGCTTGATACTGGCTAGATACTTTTCTCCACGGTCAGGCAAGTTAGCGGCCAAGGAAGGGAAATTGTTCTTCATCCTAGTAATTTCTGTCATCAATTCGTCATCAGGCGTTTGACGAAATTGATCGCCTCTGGATGACTCCTCCCCGTCATCAGTCATCGGTTTCTTTTCCGCCGCTGCTGCCACCGGCTTGACCACCAGAACCGGATCCTCGTCGTCCTCTGGCCGGAGTAGCTTATCCCAGTCCAACTCTAGAGGAGATTTCCTCTTTCTCTCTCCATCCCCTTCCATGCATGTGTGTATTATATATGTATAGGTGATGGAGAAGAGAATGCTTGTCAATTGTGTGTGAAAATGACTCCCCTCCAGCTCTCTTCCCCTGTAATAATGTTTTGAGGGGATATTGCCCCCGTTTGCCCCGTTAAATTCCATTTCTGTCGCCTATTTCCAATAATATAATCTTTCTTAAAATAATATTATACATAAATTAAGTTTTTTTTCTTATTTTTCAATCACTCATTTTTACAAATAAGAGTAATGATATTCGTATTTCGCTCACTGCGATAATCACCCTACGTGGCATACACATGACAGGTGATTGTTTGATACATTAATATGATAGTTTTTTTTATTCATTAATGTATCAAATAATCATCTGTCATGTGTATATCACGTAGGGCGACTGCCTCAGTGAGCGACTGCAAATAGAATTATTCTTCAAATAAATACTATTTCACCGATTTTAAATTAAAAAAATGAGAGCCAAATGGAGACATTTCCTCAATTTTTTATTTGATACTCTATATTTTAGTTCTAATTAAGCTCCCAATCGTTTTTTATTGTAGCAATTATTTTTTTATTTTTTTAATTGAATTTTTATATTCAATTATCCATTAATTGGTACCGCATCATCCTTAATAATGATTTATACCAAATTATTTTGTGTTTCATGCTTTGAAATAAGAGAAAATATTTTCTTACACTTTTTTTTTAAATGATGAAAAAAAAGTTATTTTACGTCATTTTAATAGACTTTTGGACATAAAATTAGTATTAAATATAAAATGTGTTAACTAATAAAAAGTTTAAGAGTAAGAACGATATAAAAAATCGTAAGAGACATAAGTACTATAATGAGTAAAGATTAAAAACATTAAGGTCCCGTTTGATTGCATGAAATTTTTCATGGAACTTGGAATTCGAATTTCAACTTCCACTTTTGGCCTGTTTGATTGACAAAATTTTCCAGGGAATTGATTTTCCATGAATTTCTAGGTACAACACCTTAAAGCGTGATTTTCCATCTTTT